CCCCAAAACCCCAAAACCCCAAAACCCCGGTTGTATAAGTTTATTTAAATTAAGTATTTAAGAAAATAATTCAAAAAACAATTATAATTTCAATTAAAATGATTATTAATTAGAGGCAGGTTGTTTTATCAAATATACCCAATAAAAAAGAGTTTTAGCTGAAGGCAGACAAAGTTATTTGCTAATTTTTTGAGAAGGACGTCACTCATGAACCCTTTGTTCAGTTATTTAAATATGGAGGAGATGAATTTGGTATAATTCTTTTGAATAGTCATAAATAAATGGCTCTGGGTATCTTCGATATCTCATATCTTAATCTTTTTAATAAGTAAGCAATCAATCTTAATAAAACCATTTTATTTTAGTCTTGGTGGCCATCTATTAGGAGACCAGGTTATAGAGAAAGTTTAAAGTGTTCTTCAAATCCTAGTTTGTGAGGTTGATCTAGAGCCTAAAATTGAAGAAATCACCTTTGATTTTGCAATTAAACTTCATTAAAGTTGCGCTAATTTAGATAAGTTACTAGGTAATAAAGAGATTTAAGTTTATGGTGGATTTTGTTTTATTCATGAAATACTCTCTCAGTCAAATCAATACTCATAGCATATTCACAAAGATGACACAACAGAGGATAAGGTATCAGTTATGCTGCTTTAGTCAATGAGAGGAGCGGATGAGCTCTTATCTTCAACTGAAATATACAAGAAAATGTTTGCACTTGCAGATGAGAGAATGTAATACCATAAAGTTTCCTCTCGAGTTTATTAGCTTATCAAACTTATGCAACCCTTAGTCGAGCTTATTTAGACTAAAGAAGATATCAATTATCTCCACAATAGACTCATTGATGAAATCGGAGAGGGAAGCATTATTGAAGCATAAACATTGACTGCGTAAATACAAAGATTAAAAGTTACTCTTGAAAACTTAAGAGAGGCATTATTCGATAAAAGAAAAGAATTCAAGATTCTCTATAAATTCTCTACGAAATGTCTAGGAGACATCAAGAAAAGAGATTTGTTCTAACTGGCAAACATTAGCTCTGAGGATGATTTAAAGTTAGAAATAGCAAGACTGCTAGAATTAAAAAGAAAACCTCTGCTTAACTCAGAGCTATTTGAATTCTCATTTTCAGATGGAAAGATTAAATCACTTGAAAACCATGATAAAATTACTACAAACTAATCAACTTATGTTTACGATGAGGACTCATTGACTGATACCTATGACAGTAGCTATACTAGAGCGAGTTTTTAGAACAAGATAACATTCGGCTATTTTAGCAAGAAAATTCAAAGTATTCGTAACTCTCTATTGAATAGGTATGACATCTTTGAGTTCAAAGCAGATGCCCAGTTATTCTCATTGTGCTATTTCAACTAGGATCATTCCAAGAAGCCTAACTTCTTGCTTTTCAATTAACTAAGCAGAGCCTTTTGGAGATATTTCAGCATTGACTTTGCCCGCACCTTTCTATACGCATTTATAGCTGAGTTTCTATCTCTTGTAAGCTTTTTATCAATTGGCTCAGTTTTGAGGAACATGAAATACTAGGAAATAAGCCGCCTTGAAAACTTTTTCTACATTATGCTGATTATCATGATTCTTTTATGCCTAAGTGCAATGAAAAACCAGTACCAGTTACAAGGCCAATTGATCCCACTTAAATTTAGAAAGTGTTTGGTCGATCTACTCTTTGAAAAAGTGAAGAGAATTAAAACTGAGGATGCTATTAAGAGCAATATCTAGACCTAGTTCATCAGCATTGTGTCACATGACATGGTGTTCCTGGAAAGAAGCATGGGCTTCATGATTTACATTCTAGTAGGACCTCTCATCAATCTACTTGCATTGATCTATGTCTACCAATAGTTTGGAAGTACAGCAAGTACAATCTTTGTGATTGGATTTTCTGTGCAAATTGCTTCTTAAGTAATTATTAGCAAGATAAGCTTCAACCTGAGGTTTATGGAGTCCTTTTTGAACGATAAAAGAATGAGAGATATCAAGGAAGTTCTTAACAACATAATTCCGATTTAAACCAATAATTTTCAATAGTTTTTTGAGAAAAAGATTCTCAAAAATAGACAAGATTAATCATAATACACATTTACCATCAATTTAATCTTGAGCATTGGCAACGCATTCTTTCAAAACACTGGAATTATAGTCTTTTTATTTACGATACTAACAATAAAAAGTCAAGACATCCTTGTCAGCTAAGTTGATTTGTTCGCTTTATTCGCTACCTTTGGATACTTAGCCACTTCAATCAACTCTATTACCTTCGGGGGATTTATGTGCTACAGCTAGTTCAAAGCAGTTCTTGTAAAAATCCAAAAACTCCTTAATATTCCAGAAAGAATGGAGCATAAGCATAACCTATAAACTTCTTATCAAAACACTATGGTTATTTCTACTGATGATCATGAAGAATCTAAATATATCTATCAAGTAGTTCCAAAGTCTAGCTCTTAATATGAATTGAAATCATTTAGAGAATAAAACTATAATATGAAAAATAAACTTCAGATTGATCAGAAGCAAAAGATACTAATAGTGGGCGAAACAGCTTCTGGAAAAAGCCAAATGATTAGATAGCTGGTAGGTGATCTCAGTATTGATAATAACCTTGATGATTGCTTGTCTTACCCAACTATTGTTTCTTATGCTCCATAGCTAGGATTTACAATAGTCGGAACTATTGAGGAAAATATTCTATTTGGCCAACCGTATAGTTAGTAGAGACTATTTGAAGTTCTAAGTATTTGCTAAATAAGTGATGAAATCTTCTAAATGCCTAATGGCTTTAACACTTAGATACAAGAAAATGCTAAAAATCTTAGTGGAGGCCAAATGTAAAGAATAAGTCTTGCAAGAGCATTGTATAGAGATGCAGATGTGTTCCTGTTGGATGATCCTCTATCATAAGTTGATTAGTCGGTTGCTGATTAGATCATGCTTTAGATACTTTAAAATCAAAGATTGAAGGACAAATGCATAGTTATGACATCCTAGACCAACAGATATTAAGACAATTTCAATTAAATTATAAATCTTTCAGAAAAAGAAGAATAAGAAATAGTAAGTAATAGGACATCAGTCAATTCAGAGGACATAAGCATCTTTGATACTCAAAATGAATCAGTAAAAAGTGTTAATCTGGGGAAAAATTTCAAATAGCTCAGATAAAGTGATCAAGAATGCAAGATTCATTACAAGACTTTTATATCGATGATAACCTATTCATATGGAAAATTAGGTCTGCTATTATTTGCAGTATTCGCTTTCTTGCCTAACCTTACATTTTTAATGTTAACATATGAGCTGTCAAAGATAATTAGTTCTGACTTCAGTCTAAACGATGATGTGTTGAAAAATTTCATTGGTATTTCAATTACTCTGATTGTATTCTCAGTATCTAGAAATTTTACAAACAATTTTCTACTAAGACAAAGTAGCTAAAAGATTCACTCAGACATAATCAGATATATACTCTACGGCAATTCAAACTATCTCAAGAAATCTCAGCATTAAGTTATTCAGACTAATTTGTCTAAAGATCTTGCGATTTTTGACATGCAAATCCCTTACCTCTTAACTAATATATCAAATGGAATTATAAAGACTGCTATTGTCTTTATCGCCATATTGTACACATTCCCATCTACTCTCGTGATTCTCATTCTAGGTTTAATATCTTACCTATCCTTTCTAATGATTATACGGGTAAGCAAAATATTGAATATATACTAAGAAAATGACAATTCTGCCAGAGGAAACTTTAACAATTAAGTTAACAGCGTCTCAAGGGGACTCACTTTAATAAGAGTTATGAATGCTTTTGACGTGCTTAAGCATAGATTGATAGAAGAATCAAATCTATCAGCTCATATTGGCTTTTCAATGGCTATAGCTATGAGATGGATATCCCTCAGAATAGATGTTTGTTCAAATGTTCTTGTTTCACTATGTCTTATAATGCCCTTGATTTTTAATGATCACATTCAAGATAGCTCCTTATTGATGGTGATTCAGCTGTCTATTGATCTTGCATTTGTAATGAGTATTACAATTAAATTAGCCATTGAGTTTATAAATCTATCTTCCTCTTGGGAGAGATTAATGCTTTTGGCCTCTGATTAGAATTTTAGTGTAGAAGACAAGAAGGTACAATTGAAGCAGCAAGTCAAGTTCAAAAATATATCTGTTGCACTTCCTAGATCCAACAAGCATATCTTAAAGGATGTAACATTTAAGATTTTGAAAGGATAGAAAGTTGGGATTATTGGAAGGACAGGATCTGGTAAGAGCACATTAGCCCTTACTCTGATTGGTAAGATCAGACACAACCACGGGCAGATTGTTCTAGACAGCCAAGTCCTTAAAAGAGTTAAAATTGATTCAGCTTATCTTGGTTAGCACCCATTCATATTCAAAGGAACAATCAGAGAAAATCTTGATCCTATGAATCAGAAAACTGAAGATGAGATAATACTTGCTCTTAAAAACTCATTAATTTGGGATAGAATTCAATCTTTACCGAACTAATTAGATGAGGAAATTGATTTTAATGATTAGAGACTTTCTCCAGGATAATAGCAGCAATTAAGTCTAGCTAGAATTGTATTGAACAGTAAAAGTGAGTTGATAATTTTGGATGAGATCTACTCAAACATTGATGAGTAATGTTCTCATAAGATAAAGAAGGCTATTGAAACTATTTTTGAACAGAACACAGTGATATAAATCTCTCATAAGATTGAGACTGTGATTGATAGTGACTAAATTATTGTTGTGAGTAGTGGATCAATTATTGAAAATGATCATCCCTTCAGATTATTGTCGACTCAAGATAATGATTCAAACATCACAAACTGTGGTAGTACCTTTTCAAAACTAGTCATTAAGTCTGGAGATGTCATTAAAGCATAGGATCTTTTTGAAAGAGCAAAAGAATCTTATCAAAAACATTTAAAATGAATTTAATCGAAGGTGCATTCACATCTTTGATAATTCATTCCTTTTTATAATATATAAATA